GACATAGTACAAAGCTCTTAACAATAATTTGCGCTAATCCCGATTCCCTAAATCATGTAATGCTTAAATATTCAGACGCCTTTCTGAATGCGAATTGACCCCTGCATCTGCCTATGCATATAAATCCTTTTCAGAATAAAGTTAAGTTACAGATGATAATAATAATTTCCTTATTACATGTTCCAAAATGTAATCATAGTAAACCAGAAGAACAGTTAAAAGACGATAATAATAATTTCATTATTACTAAGATGCAGGGATTATTAATCTTACGTGAATCACATGCTAGTAATGGCAAGTACGTCGACAAAGAGCATTAAGCCAGAAAATCACTATATTTCTACTTCAAGGCCAACCAAGTGACGATAGAAGCATTTTAAACCCACACAAAATACAAACCTTTGAACGCTTATCAGCGCCAAGGTCAGCATGCTCGAGGGCCTTCTTGCCAGCAACAATGCAGTACCGAAGGCAACCATCGAGCCGCCTATCGTTCTTGCCATCAATGTAACCTTCGGAGGTGAACCCTCGGATCTGCCCGCCGAACCTCGTGGGAAACTTGGAGGCATCAAATCGATCAATGGGACCGATTCCGCTTTCACCCGCAAGAAGCTTCTCATAGAATGTATCGACGTCGTTGCCGAACACAGAGGCAAGTCCCATTCCCGTTATCACCACCCGCTTCTTTGGGTCCTTCTCTCTCTTGGGAGCAGAAACTTTGGGGGACACAGTGGCAGAAATGAAATGAACTTTCTTCTTGGATCTTTCGGGCGCATTGAGAGATTTGCGAAGCGGGTCAAATGGAGACGCTCGAACAGTTGGAGATTGAAGTGCCAGCATGGTGCGGCGGGGGCGGCGGCTAGTGAAAGGCGCAACGATGACAACGACGGAAAAGTGGAGGGGAGGAATTCAGACGTAGTTGGGCTACTCCGGGAGTTGTTGTGGTATTTAAGAGCTGAATCCTCAGCTATGTGTTCGTGCGACGACAAGTAATCAGGCCTTCGAACTCTTCGCATCCAGTGGCATTATCAAATAGCAGGCGACGATTACGATGCAAGTCGAGAACTCAACAACTAATCAACAATAGCAGATTTCGTTTGAAGGGCTTCACCCAATTCCGTACATGTGTTGACCATTTGAATGCGGGCAGGATGCGCGCTCTGGTTTGGTAATAAACGAATAATTGCATCGTATTTTTTTGTTTTTATGAGTGTTTGCTTTTTCTACAAAATTAATACATTTATGGTTTTACCGCGCCTTTTCTGGCATATATTTTTAATATAAAATTCAATATATAATTAGTTAGTTAAATTTATTTACAATTTAAAAAATCTTGTGGAAGCAATTACATTTTATGCTATTATACTACATCTAGTTCTTAATACTACTTTCGATCCTAATTATAAGACTCAGTTGACTAAGCAGAAGAGATTAAGGAAAAAAGGTAAGTTAGTTATTTGTAATAAATACGTGTTATCTTTCCTAAAATATCCTTACTAATCAACTATATTGGCTAGAATTATAATTATTAAAAGGACTACCTTGAAAAAAAATGCATAAATATGAGAAACAAAATGGATTGGGGTCTTATATTTAGGATCAAAATAAAAGTCAAACAGGGTCTTATGTTAAGGACCGAAGGTAGTATAAGAGTTATAAAACTAATTTAAAGATATCTAAAAAATTAATTAAGTTGGTTATTTATCACAAATATGTGTTGGTCTTTATAAACTAACCTCTTTAATCATGTACATTAAATGATCAGAATTATCTCTTAATGGGACCTTTTATAACTGACAGTGATATTTTGAGAAAAAATAAAAGGTGAAGTGAATTGATGTGTTATATTATATTAAGTAGCACAGACAATATAATATTATCAAATCAAATTATAGCATGGCATTCGTGGTGACTCTCTAACATTTTAAAAGTTTTAGGATCAATAAATAAGCTCGCTGAAAACAAGTGAGTTTGGTTCCTAAGATAGATGTGACCTTTTAAGGAGGCATCACATATATGCAGATACAGCATGAAATTTGGAGCTAATTTTCACGGAAAAAATAGAGTAACAACAGTAATTGTGCTTCTAAGTTCACTTCACATATAATTATATATTTGTCACTCTTTCACTGAAAGCGTGTCAAGTTCATTGTGCGCTTTTATGCTGTGTTAAGATTTGGTGATTACTGGCTAAATGCTTAATTTTAGAAGTTAAACATAATTTTTCTTCTCTCTCTCTTTTTTTTTTTGTTTTTTAAAAAAAAGAAGCAGAACCAAACTAATCTACCCACACCGATCTTGTTGACCGTAAAATCTGGTTCCATTTGGTTGGGCAAACTTTATTTATAAATATTTGTAACCGAACATTTTCTTTTGATTTCCCCTTTAATTTACGAAATTGGATTAAAAAAAGCATATCACGGGTTGATAACTTAAAATGTTGTTACTCAAAGTCTCATATTTCGGAGCTTCTTCCTTTTTTTTAATTGAAAATAAAAAAGAACTGTGGTCTGCTTTTTTTTTTTTTTTTTGGGTCACAGGTCTTTATTTTAACTTTTAAGGGCTTGCTGGTTAATAAAAATATGTGATTGTCACCAACAGGGATTGGTCTAAGTGATAAGCGGCTTGGTATCGCTTAAGCGAGGTCTCGAGTTCCAGCCTCAGCGTATGCACAAATCCCCATTAGGAAACTCATCCACTACAGCCAGGTGCATGACGCGGGTCGGATCCAGATATAATCGGAACAAAGTTCCGGAAAACTGGGTGATTTAACTAAGCGCAAATAAATGAGATCACACAAATTTATCCTTTAAATGAGAATCATGAGACGCCAAGAACTTGTTAAAGATATGAACCAAATGAACTATCATTGAATTTGAATCTCTTGTTGCCTCACCATTTTCATTCTCAGATAGCCCCATCCTGTACTTTGGAGCTATTTATGATCATTCACATTACAAAGTTTCTCGCTATTTATAATTACTCTTGTGTTGTACAATCATAAAATCATAAACAAATAGTACCATGTATATATTCCATTTTTTTAGAGAAATAAAATAAAATAATTGTTCTTCTCAATTCCATTAAAGGAGGCATCAATTTGAAGGCAGATATGTTTATGATTGTGAAACCTATCTTCTAGACAAATTGGTAGCTTCAAGATAGAAAATGACATTATAAACTAGTGATGCCCAACAGGTGAAAGGTTACAGGACTGGTCCTGCTCGCTATTAATGCATGCCCCTCTGATTCAAAAGAGAAGTACTAATGCGTGCGTGCATTAGTATGCTTGGAGTTACATGCACAAGCATTTGTGTTGTTATTTTGAAGCCTCTAGGGTTTTCACATTATTATCACATGTTGTATCGTCCTTTAACGACACAACCTTGAACTTAATTCATGGATAGTAAATCTCCTAGTTCTAAAGTCTCTTTGAGTTTCCTCTTCTGGAGCAGCTTGTCTCTGAAAGGGTGTCTGTAGTGAATCAGCAATGCCTCTGACCTCAGCTATCCTGGCAACCCCATCATTTAGCTTATTCACTGCAGAGCCCACGCCCTGTGATTAAGAACCACATCAGTCAGAAAGAACTGGATATCATCACTATTGAGTAATTCTTGCATATGTATTATTTCTACTAGCTAATATAAATCCATCAAAGTAGGAGTTTTAATAGGCCTCATCACTTGAAGCCTTCATTTGGGTAATTTCAAATTTAGTTAAGAATAGTCCCGCACGTTTATGACTGATATATGAATTGAAATGGGAAGAAAACTTGAAAGAAAATGAAGGCATACCACCCGGCTGCGATGGCCATCGGTACCGTGGCAGCGCTTTACCCAGATGAACACAGGACAGGGATTTTCACAGCTCGTGATACGGAATATGCTGCAGCTAAAGCTGGACGAAAGAGTACAGAAGAACAAGAAGAAGGGAAGTAGATAAGGGGGAGCTACTAACTCTAGACTAACATATGCGAGATATTTTCTCAGAGTAGAAAGTTACTCTCTTTTTTCTTTTTTTAAACCAGCATGCGTGAAATCACTTGAATTTAAAATTTTTATCTGGGAAAAAATCAACAATACTTTAATTTCAGAAATTTGATTATAAATATTACTCCACACAAGTATTTAATATAATTTTCTTAAAATTGTAGTGCCGACATGTTTGTTGTGTAATGATTCTTCCAGTATCTACTGAATTGATCAGCTTCATTCATAATTTTTTATCACACATAAAAATCAATCAATTATTGTGCATCTGAAAAAAAAAAAGAGGAAAATTATTCATTGGTCCCAAATAAAAAGATTAAATATGGAGAGACCTTTAAAAATTTTATATTTACAAATTAAATTAAGATATTTATAGATCAAATTTAACATTTTATTAATATATTTAATTTATAAATAATAATTTCTTCAGATTTTAAAGGGCAGTAGGGGTGTTCAAACTATTTTAAATTGAGAGGTTTTGAATATAATTTTAATACTTTCTATTATAATTTTCAATAAACATGGTGCACTTTATTATTTTAATTTCGCGTGGGTATCTAAATTTGTCGCTTTTTTGTTTTTTTGGCCAACGAACGGGTGTATAAATTTAAAATTTTGTTCTGTGAAATGGCCAGGTGTAGTGACAGAAAACAAACGCGGGCAAGTAAGAAATTAAGAATACCGTTACAAGCAAGGCTACAAACAGGTCAGGTGTATAATGGCAAAGGAGAAACCTTCATGGCACCATTTACAAACAGATCAAACGGTATATATTCCTACAAAGTCCACTCTCGAAATCCAGCAACGAAGGCCATACAGGGGATGTGCCACCTCAAATGCAAGCCGAGATTTGGCCTGTCGTTACAACCAACTCATTTCATTTCTTTCTCTCTGCTCAATGCCTTTATATATCGCCATTCCTTCCTCTCGAAAGCCAACAGCTTTGCTCTTGTTCATCGATCTCTCAGAAGAAAGTAGAAACACCTTCAGAAAATTAAAAAAGGGGCAACCATGCTTTTGCAGAATCCCAGTGCGTGTTATAATCTCACTGTGAAAAACCCCAATCAAGTATGGAAAGCCAGTGATGTATATGGATCCGAACTTCCGAGTTTGGCCTTTCAAACGTGTTGGACCTTATTCGTCACTCGCATTTTCGTCATCATTGCCAGACCATTGCACATCCCCAGTCTTATTGCTGAAGTTATTGTAAGTATCTGCATGCATTCACAGCCTTGTTCACTGACATCTCTCTTTGTTCCCCTTTGGTTTTGGGTATCTTGGAGTCGAATTATTGCATAAAATAAAATGAGGGGGCACAGAATATATCATTCTTTTGCATTCTGACTTGCAAGTGATTGATCTAAATCTACGTGCAGGCTGGTTTCGTGCTCAGCACAGATTTATTGGGGGAGATACCGATAATGTTTCGCCTTCTTTTTCCCATTCGAGGGATCTTGAATGTTGAAGTGTTGAGCAGTTTAGGTATAATCTTCTACGCCTTCTTAACTGGCCTGCAGATGAACTTAGACAACGTCCTACGAGCACAAAAGAAGGCCTTTAGCATTGCCATATCTGGTGTTATCATTCCAATGGTAATGGCAGCGATCATATATACTCTGCATCGAAACACTTACGACGTTCAGACTGATGAAACCGTTGAAAGTGATCCACTTAAAGCTTGCCTGTTATGGTCAATATGTCTTACAGTCACGGGTTTTCCCTTGCTCACTGAAATCCTCGCCAGCCTCAAGCTCCTCTATACCGAGCTAGGAAGATCAGCCTTAGATGCAGCCATAGTCAGTGACTCTTTTTCTTGGCTTCTGTTTATGTTAGTGATTCCATTTATCCTTAGCGAAGGAGCTGGAGCAATCTACACTGTGATGGGTACCATAGCATTCATCACTTTATGCATTTTTGTGGTTCGTCCTGTCATTACTCCAATTATTGAACGAAAGACCGACCGGGAAGAATGGAATGATCATCAGCTACTGTTTGTGCTGATGGGAACTGTGATGTGTGCATATATTACAGACCTCCTTGGCTCTGGCATTGTTGGGGCTTTTGTGTTTGGATTGATTCTGCCTCATGGGAGATTTACTGGTCTGATGATGTCCGCATTAGATGATGTTGCTTCTGGTGTTCTAGCACCTCTGGTTTTTGCTGGCTCTGGCATGAGAATGGACTTGACAAAGGCCTTCTCTCACAGAAATTGGGCCTTTTCAGTGATGATTGTCGTGTTATTATGCACCCCAAAGATTCTCAGCACTTTGGTTGCTACTTTTGCTTATGGTATCCCTATTCGAGATGGTTTGGGACTCGGCGTGCTGATGAGCACCAAAGGCGTCATGGCTTTGATAATGCTTAACATTGGTTGGGACAGACAGGTATCCATGATCATTTTGAGATTTGACGTGTCACATTTGATTAAACACCGCTTCAATTTTATGACCAATTAGCTTAAATGTGTTTGTGTGTTATTTGCAGATTTTGACGGTCTCATCCTATTCAATTCTAGTCACTGCTGTTGTTATAATGACTATAGCATCTTCAGTTGTCACCAACACTGCTTACAAACCAAGACATCAATTTAAGATGAATAAAATGAGAACCATACAAAATTCAAGACTTGACACAGAACTTCGAATTTTGGCTTGTGTGCATAACAACCGCCATGCTAGTAGCATGGTGAAGATCCTTGAATGCTTCCATGCCTCAAGAGTTTCCCCTCTCTATGTCGGTGCACTTTACCTTGTTGAACTTACGAGTCGTGGCGCTTTCGTGCTCCTTGACCACATGAGCCAACATGTTTCCCACACAGGAACACAGTACCATAGTCAATCACAAGCTGAGCTCGAAGGCATTACCAACACCTTCCAAGAATTAGCCGAGTCAAATGATGCCGTTCGAGTTGAAACATTCAATGTTCTATCAAGCTATAAAACCATTCATGAAGACATATACAACACAGCAAATGAAAAACACACTAATCTCATCCTCCTCCCTTTCCACAAGCAGGTCAACACAGAAGGCAGTCTAGAAATGCTGAATAGGGCGTACAAAGACATAAACTACAATGTCATGAAAGAACCACCTTGTTCAGTGGGGATCTTCATTGATCGAGGCGTATTCTCACTATCCAAAACGAATTGTCGTATTCTCATGATTTTCGTAGGTGGACCTGATGACCGTGAAGCCTTAGCTATTGCCTGGAGAATGGCAACTTATCCCGGAGTTTACCTCTCATTAGTGAGGATACTTCTAGTTGATGAAGCTTCATATCAGGTGGATAAAGAAGTTGCGTTGAAAGCCAAAGGGATATTGTCTATGGCTTTGGATAGTTCCAAGCAAAAAGAGCTGGATGATGAGTATGTGAACTTATTTAGACTCAAGGCAATGCACAATGAAGACTCCATAACTTACTCAGAGAAGGAAGTTTATGTGGGTGAGGATATTCCTGAATTACTAAATGAGTTAGACCAAGGTGATGATTATCATCTGTACATAGTGGGACAAGGCAAAGGGAGAAACTCTGTGTTATTCTCAGGTCTCATGGAATGGTGTGATTGCCCTGAGCTTGGAGCTATAGGAGACATATTGGCATCCAACAGTTTCGGGTCTAAATCCTCTGTGCTTATTGTGCAGCAATATGGATATGATGGAACCATGTCCGGAAATGCTGTTCAGAAACATCCAAATGATCAGGAAACAAAAGAAGATGGCTCTCATACGCTTATTAATCACGTCTGAATAACGTTCATGGTGATGGATTCAATATTTCTGACGAACTAACCAGCGAGGAGAAGAAGCGACGGCGGATTTGAGTATTTTGGTGAACTTGTAACCAGTTCTGATTACAAGAATTTTGTGAGCAGTGTAATTCACATTAGGAATTGCTTTTTTGTTTTTTAAACTCTATTGCGCTTAAAAAATCTCCCTTCCAGATTTTAGTTGAAGGAGAAATTTCTGTGGGGGGGGGGGGGGGATGAAGTCATCAGTAGGATACTTGGATTAATAACTTTGTTGCATGTGTTGTAGCTTTTCCATGATAGCGCTGCGAAGTAGACAAGATTTTACCTTGATTTTATGAAATATTGGAATTTTATAACAGACAATATATAACTGTTGACTTTTTAATTGAGTTCATTTCTCTCAGAAAATTATGTCATGTTTTGCAAGAGAAAATGACAATCTGGCCTCGAAGAAGAGACTAATAACGGTAAAGGGTAGGATAATTGGTCTGAAAATGACAAAATTTAGTTGGCATCGAAAGAAGCTTAGTTGAAAACTATGAAAGTCTTGCTGGAAAATAATCTTTAGCTGTCATTATCTCTCTTATGAGGTCTAAAAATGTCGTTGATAGTTTTTTTTTTTTTTAATCGAAGTTTTCACTAATCAAGGTGTATCCATTAATTATAGAAGATAAATTTGGCCAAAAAAAATTATTCCTCTGGTCATTAATGTAAGATCTAATTAATTAATTTTAAATAAATTAAGAATGTTAGTTAAATTAGATACTCCTCAGGTCCTAAATATAAGACCCAAAAAGGGTCTTATATTTAGGACTAGAGGAGTAATACGATATGTTTATTCTAAAACATCCTAATCATTTTCTTAATTTCTTCTCTTCCTCTCCTACTCAATTAGTGTTGATGAAAAAATTGATGAACATATAAAATAAATCTTATATAGGACCAATGTCAATTCCTCAATTAGATCCTATATCAAGGATGAATGAGAGAAGTAGAAGATAAATTAAAAATAAGAAAATGACTTAAAAATGTATAAAACTTCTAGGAGTTATAATACTACCTCCGATCATAATTACAAGAATTTGTTTGTAACGTTATAATTAGTACCAGAGGTAATAAGTTAAAACATCAAAGCTTATTGAATGGGATGATATGGATTCAACATCTTTACATATTATAAATAGAAAAAAACGGGAATCAGGAAAGAACTATAAGGGGAAAATTGTTTCATTTAGATTTATCAATGCTTGAATCTGAATTAACCGATGATACTATATCACCATCTAACTGTATAGAAATTATAAAATCAAAATATTTTTATTAGATTAAGTATAATTTTAAAATATAAACAGTATTTTAATTTTGACAATTTATTTAAAATAAATGTAACTTTATACAAATATTTAATATAATTTTATTAAACTGGCAGTGTCCAGCTGTTTTTTGACTACTGATCCTTCTAGTATTTACTAAATTGATCAGCTTCATTGATAATTTTTTATCACACAAAAAAAGCAATCAATATACATAATTAAAACCCAATAAAGGTAATTTTTCTGTTTGTATTAATCATCAGGCATCATTTAAGAAAAGGAGGAAAATTATTCATTGGTCCAAATAAAAAAAATTAATATAAAAACATCTTAAAATTTTTATATTTACAAATCAAATTAGCATGCATATTTACAGTACAGATAAAACTTGCATATTTACAGGTCAAATTTAACATTTTATATTTACAAGTCAAACTTACATATTTACAAGTCAAACTCATAAGAATATTAAATTTCTTAAAATTTTAATATCTAATTTTTTCCCCTTGTTTAGGAATTATGGGTAATTTTTTCTTTAAAAAAAATTCATCACGAGTACCGTAAGGGGGGTTTAAAATATTTTCAAAAATCAGAACTTTTTAATATAATTTTAATACCTTTTATTATAAAGCACGTCATACTTTAACTTAGTTACGCATGGTTATATAATTTTTGTCTAATGAAATTGCCAGGTGCGGTAACAGGCATGAGATGACAATAATGGCGGGTGGGGTAATAATGCCGTTACAAACAGGTCAGGTGTACAATGGCGAAGGAGAAAACCTTTAAGGCACACCATTACAAACAGATCAAACGGTACACTCGAAATCCAGCAACGAAGGCCAAACAGGGGATGTGCCACCTCAAATGCAAGCCAGAATTTGGCAGGCCGTTGCAACTCGTTTCATTTCTTCCTCTGCTCAATGGCATCTTAAATCCCCAGTTGTTCCTCTCGAAACTCAACGACTTTGCTCTTATTTGTCCATCTCTGAGGAGAAAGCAGAAACACCTTCGGAAGAAAAAAAGAAAGGAGAAGCCATGCTTGTCCGCAATCCCAATGTGTGTTATAATCTCACTGTGAAAAACGCCAATCAAGTATGGAAAACCAGTGATATCTATGGATCCGAACTTCCGATTCTGGCCGTGCAATTGTTTTGGACCATATTCGTCACTCGCATTTTCATCATCATCGCTAGACCCTTGCACCTCCCTAGTCTTGTTGCTGAAGTTATTGTAAGTATCTGCGTGCATTCACAGCTTTGTTCACTAATAACATCTCTCTGTTTTTTTCCCCCCCTCCTTTTCTCCCTTTGTTCTGGGTATTTTGGTGTTAGAATTGCATAAAATAAAATAGGGAGCTCAGAATCATTCTTTTGCATTCTGACTTGTGGGTGATTGATACAAATCTACGTGCAGGCTGGTTTCATGCTCAGCATGGATATACTAGGGCAAATACCGATAATGCTTCACCTTCTTTTTCCTGTTCGAGGGATTTTAGATGTTAACGTGATGAGCAGTTTAGGTTTAATCTTCTACGCCTTCTTAACTGGCCTGCAGATGAACTTAGACAACGTCCTACGAGCATCAAAGAAGGCCTTTAGCATTGCCGTGTCTGGTGTTGTCATTCCAATGGTAATGGGAGCGATCATATTTGCTCTGCATCGAAAAACTTACACCCTTCAGATTGATGAAACCATTGAAAATGATCCAGTTAAAGCTTGCTTGTTATGGTCAATATGTCTTACAGTCACGGGTTTTCCCTTGCTCGCTGAAATCCTCGCCAGCCTCAAGCTCCTCTATACCGAGCTAGGAAGATCAGCCTTAGATGCGGCCATAGTTAGTGACTCTTTTTCTTGGCTTCTGTTTATGTTAGTGATTCCATTTACCCTTAACCATGGAGCTGGAGCAATCTACACTGTTGTGGGTACCATAGCATTCATCACTTTCTGCATTGTTGTGGTACGTCCTGTCATTTCTCCAATTATTGATCAAAAAACCGACCGGGAAGAATGGAATGATCATCAGCTACTGTTTGTGCTGATGGGAACTGTGATGTGTGCATATATTACAGACATCCTAGGCTCTGGCATTGTTGGGGCTTTTGTGTTTGGATTGATTCTGCCTCATGGGAGATTCACTAATGTAATGATGTCTGCAGCAGATGATTTTGCTTCTGGCGTTCTAGCACCTCTGGTGTTTTTTGGTTCTGGAATGAGAATCGACTTGACAAGTGCTCTATCTCACAAAAATTGGACATTTTCAGTTATGGTTATTGTCTTATTATGCATCCCAAAGATTCTCAGCACTTTGATCGCTACTTTTGCTTATGGTATTCCTTTTCGAGATGGTTTGAGTCTTGGAGTGCTTATGAACACCAAAGGCGTCATGGCTCTGATCATGCTCAATATTGGTTGGGACAGAGAGGTATCCATGATGATTTTGAAGTTTGACTTGTGCCATTTGATCAAACGCCACTTTAATTTTATGACTAATCAACTCAGATGTGTGTTATTTGCAGATTTTGGCAATTTCATCCTATTCAATTCTAGTCACTGCTGTTGTGATAATGACTATAGCAACTTCAGTTATCACCAATATTGCTTACAGACCAAGAAAGCAATGTAAGATGAACAAAATGAGAACAGTACAAAATTCAAGACTTGATACAGAACTTCGAATTTTGGCCTGTGTGCATAACAATCGCCATGCCAGTAGCATGGTGAAGATCCTTGAATGCTTCCATGCCTCAGGAGTTTCCCCTCTCTATGTTGGTGCACTTTACCTTGTTGAGCTTACAAGTCGTGGCGCTTTCGTGCTTCTTGATCACATGAGCCAACATGTTTCTCCCCTAGGAACACAGTACCATAGTCAATCACAAGCTGAGCTCGAAGGCATAAACAACACCTTCCAAGAATTAGCCGGGTCAAATGATGCCGTTCAAGTTGAAACATTCAATATTCTATCAAGCTATAAAACCATTCATGAAGACATATGGAACACAGCAAATGAAAAACACACTAACCTTATCCTCCTCCCTTTTCACAAGCAGGTCAACACAGGAGGCTGTCTAGAAATGTTGAATAGTGCATACAAAGACATAAACTACAATATCATGCAAGAACCACCTTGTTCTGTGGGGATCTTCATTGATCGAGGCGTATTCCCACTATCCAAAACCACTTGTCGTATTCTCATGATCTTCGTCGGTGGACCCGATGATCGTGAAGCCTTAGCTGTTGCCTGGAGAATGGCAACTTATCCCGGCGTTCACCTCTCATTAGTGAGGATGCTATACCATACAGGTATGGAAGTTGAGTTGGAATCAAATCGGATATCATCCACAGTTCTGGATAGTTCCAAGCAAAAAAAGCTGGATGATGAGTATGTGGACTTATTTAGAATCAAGGCAATACACAATGAAGACTCCATAAGTTACTCAGAGAAGGAAGTTCATGTGGGTGAGGATATTCCCGAATTACTAAATGAGCTAGACCAAGGTGATTATCATCTTTACATAGTGGGACAAGGAAGAGGGAGGAACTGTGTGTTATTCTCAGGTCTCATGGAATGGTGTGATTGCCCTGAACTTGGAGCAATAGGGGACATATTGGCATCCAACAGTTTTGGTTCTAAATCTTCTGTGCTTATTGTGCAGCAATATGGATATGATGGAACTATTTCCGGA